AATGATCTGAGAACAGCAGAGGTAAACTGAAACTTAATTAATTCTTTGAAAGCTTTTGTATTTTGACTGTAATTTTATATTATAGTAGACATTTAAAGGAAGAAAACCTTGGTGATTTCATGATGTTTGGGCTTGTATCGAATTAGTTATGAATTTTACAACTTAGTTCATGAAATCTGGAAAAATTTTATTGTTAGCCATGTCCATGTAATTGATTGTTCTCTTGAAATAGAGATGTTATAATGTGTGTAACGTCCCGAATTTTGGTAATATTAATTATTATTATTATTCTTATATATATATATATATATATATTCATATGTGTGTTGATTTATTTGAAAATGATGTTTTATGTATATTAATTACATGGATATGTGTATGTATGACTGGTTGGGCTGAAATGGGCGAAGTGCCTAAGTGCAGAGCGAGATACTAGACTGTTCTCGCTGCAGCGAGAAGATTCTTGCTGTAGCGAGAAGGCCCTAGAAGGAAGGACCAGAATTGTCGCCTTCTCGCTGTAGTGAGAGACGTCTCGTTGTAGCGACAAAGCGACAGTTTGGAGTGCATTTCTGGATGCAGTCTCACTGTAGCGATATTCTGCAAAAACTATAGTGCAGTTTTCTCTGGGTTTTTTCACTGCAACGAGGTCCCTTCGCTGCAGCAATAATATCTCGTTGTAGCGAGAGTGTCGCGACTAGAAAATGATTTAAAAGGGGCTAGGGTTCGGGGAGAGTAATTTCTCCCTCTCCCTTCGAAATCCCTTCGATTCTCTCACTTCTAAACCCTATTCCATCGATTAATTGCCTACAAAGCCATTTGAAAGCAAGATTGGAGCTCAGATTTGTGTGGGAAACGCTTGGAGGTGAGTTTTAAACGGTTAGGGTTTTCATTTTTCCTTCCCTTTCTCTGTTCTTGGTAATTTTCGGGGTTGGCTGAAAGCCATGTGGGGAGCATTTCTGTGGTTGAGTTTGGGCGTGAGTCTTCAATCCAAGGTAAGGGAGGATTCTACCCTACTCCTTTATGTGTGATTTGCTGAATATTGTGTTATGGATGAGTTAGTGGATAGAATATTGCTGAGATATGTGATGTGGGCACTTGTGTCGTTTATACATGTGTGTATATCTGAATGAACATTGTGAAAATGTGGGCCCGAAGGCCGTGTAATATGAATGAAAATAGGCTAGGAGCCGTGTGTCTTGAATGAATTGTGGGCTATGTGCTAGCGTAAGTATGCATGGGTTCATGAATTGTGCTTATGGATGTGATAATGTTTCCTGTGCTTGTATTTATTTAATGTATTGGAAATGTGCTGGAGGTGAGACTCTATGCTTAATTGTATGTTTTTGTAGTGTAGAGTACTCACCCTTACATTCATTTTTCAGGTAATCAAGACATCAGTACTGGACTCAGTGAAAGGGGTGAATGAAACTGTTATAGGACTAGGATTTTAATTTAAAACTAATGTATTTGAATGGGTCCTGTAGTAGTGACTTGATAGAAATTATAACTCCTTTCCTTATTTTAAAATATTTGATGAAACCAAGGATTGACAACCTTATTTGAAATAAAATTTATTTTATTCCAAATTTGCGAAATTATGATTTATTGAAATTAAACATAAGGTGTTACAATGTGTCTGTTAGACAATTAATGGTTATGATATTATTTGTGTTTGTGATTATGAAAGAGGTTGAATACGCCACGGTACAGGCGAGGAGCAAATAGTGTTGGTCTTACCATAGGGGATAGGAGAGTGCCTAAGACTTACAAGAGACCAAGTCTAGCTAACTTGTGTCGTAGGCAGTGGGAACTTTGCTAGCCTATCCTGATAGACACTAGAGCATACCAAGATTGGTTTGAGTGTGGGCTGCTGGTAATGATCATAAAATGAGAATTGTGCACTTATGTTTTATCTCCGAAAAAGGGAGAAGATATACCTATGACACTAGCCGAGTTGCAGACACGAAACTCTCAATCTCAACCTGAAAACAAAATGTTGGATAATTAATTAATTACTCTATGGAGAATGCACGGACAAAAGACATTGAATGATTGTTGCTTGATGCTTGAATGTTGTTTTGTTCATTTAAGCACAAGTATGGGGATGCCTGATATCGTTGATGCCTAAATGATGTTCTGTTCATTTAAGCATATGTATTGCCTTGTATTATTGTTTATGAAGGTTTGTACTCACCCCTCTTCTTTATTTTGTGTCTTTTGACAATGTTATAGATATAAAATGACTCTCCTCTAGATGGACCAAAGGAGTAGGTGATGAGCTAACTAGGGAGTAGCTTAAGATTGTTGCAACTAATTACATGTTTAGTGATTTGTTTTTAAGGGTCACTATGTAGACCTTCGGTTCTTTTATGATGTAATTAATTGAATGACAAGAAGAAATTTAGAAGGTTTGTAACCTATTGAACACTATAATATTAGGCCAATGTATGATATTAGTGCTTTTGTGTAAAAGAGTTAGTTGATGCTTTAGACATAATTGACTCTTATATATGTTATGGAAAAAAAAAAAAAACTTGGGTATTTTCCTAAGAAGTATCAGAAAATGGAGACTGAACTATTGGAAGTAGGGACGTTTTAGTCGGTAAGGCTATAAATGAACCAAAGATATCTTTAAACGGTAAAAGCAAAAACCTTATAAAAAGAATAACAGTAACACAAATTTTTTATCAAGAAAATAAATATATTTAAGCAATCAACTTGAAAAACCCCATGATCTAAACCTTATAATAATATATGTGTTGTATTTTTAATAAATATGAGATATTTTAATACTCTCATTAGCGGCTTTTTTGCCTGCGTAGGTTTAAAGGAAAAACAATTTCTCCATATAAGGTTGTTTTGTAACAAATACTGTGTCTAGGGTGATATAAAAGTGTCGTAAAATGTTCTGGCGATACAATGTAAAGTGTTGGCCATGAAACTACTGACACTAAGTCTAATTATTGCTACGTGGCATATGCGTCGGCTCGTTGTACTTCAACACATGTGTGTCAATTTTCTTTTTGGCAACACTTGTGTATCGGCCGATAGAATGCCGACACTTGCGCTGTGTCGATTGCTTTGATGCTGACACTTCTCTCGTTCACCTCTTTACCCTTTGGAAAAAATAAAAAACAATCTTTTATCTAGTAGTTTTTATCCAATTAAAATGCATATATATAGGTGGATGAGTGTGTATTAGTTGCAAAAAATTTTGAAGAAGCTGTCGAGTATAGAAGAAACTGAAGGTTAGAATGTTATTAATTTATAATTTTAATTTTTTAATTATCACAATTAAGTTTGAATTAATAATTTTAATATTATTATGAATTAATGAAATTAAAAATATTTGTAGTAATTAATTAAATTATTTAATGTTAATATAATATTATTAAAAATATAAATATAAATATTTTTTTATTTTAATATTTTTGTAATATTTTTTGTTACTATTTGTTTAGGTATACTTTTGTAATATTTTTTGCTGTATTTTTTAATTTGATATGCAAGATGATTGAAATTGTGGTTATTTTATATTGGAATGGAAGAGTGTATGAAGGAAACGAGGGTATCATATTTGAAGGAAATAAGAAGATGATTAAAATAGAATGTGGAATTAATTTTGAGATGCTGAAAAAAATACATACAAAATTGAGATTGTGCAATAGTAATGTAATTTCTAGACTGATTTCACGAATTTTAGTTGATGCAAGGAGTGAAAACTACACAATTTTAGATATAGGTGATGATGAAGACATTGACTGTATGATAAGTGCTTGTCAAGAACGACATCAAAGAAATGTAGTTGAGTTATATGTGGATATTGCGGTTAGTGAAACTTCTCAGGTAAGTGAAACTTCGTTATGTTTGTCACTCTCAATTGTTAATGCTAGTGACAATGAAGAAGAGTAGGCAATTGGAGGAAGTAATGTATAATATTTATTTAAATTATATGATGTTTAAAATTTTATAATTTATTAATAAATATTTGTTGCTGCATCTACAGATGAAGAAGATGAGTATGATGATGACTATGAAGATGAAGGAGAAATTCCTTTAGATAGTTCTTTTGATACTAATTTGGATGATGGTTTTGATTCAATGATGAATATTCCAAACACTGAAAGAAATAACGATATGCAAAGACAATTTACAGGTACAATTTTATATAATACAATAATTGTAAAATATTTTTAACTAACATTAGTTGAGTTTAATACAAATTCTATAATACCCTTTTGGAACATAAGTTCACACTACACTGCTATTAATTGGGAACATCTTGATCAAGAATTAGATTTTTCTGAGTTGCATTCGTCACAATCATTGATACAAGGAGATGCATTATATGTTGGACAACTCTTTAACTCTAAAGAGGAGGTAAAAATGGCGATAAAATATTATGCAATGAAGAAACATAAAACATTTTTTGTGGTTGAGTCAAAAGCATCAACTTATTTTATCAAGTGTGTGAATCATAATTCCGGGTGTCTTTGGAAAGTAAGAGCATTACTATCCAAAAATTCAAATAAGTGAAAAATTACGAGATGGGTTGATATGCATACCTGTGTAAATACTATAATTTCTCAAGACCACAAAAAGTTATATTCAAATTTATTTATTCATGCATTCTTGGTACGTGAAACTCAATTGAGATTATTTTTGTTTGTCTATTTAAAATTATTTTGAAATGATCATTAGCTGAGAATTGTTTAATTTTATTGACAGGTATGGTAAAAGAAGAACCTTCAGTTCCCGTTTCATTAATCCAAGAAATAATAAGTGGACAATTTGGGTATTCAATTTCATACAAAAAAGCATGGAAAGCAAAGTAAAAAGCAATTGTGACAATATTTGGTGATTGGGATGAATCTTATGCAACATTGCCAAGATGGTTAGAATACATGCAATTACATGTTCCAAGGTCAATTTACAAAATTGAGACCAATGATTATGTGAGAGGTAACGTAATGGATAATAGATTCAGAATCCTTCATCAATTATTTTGGTCGTTTAGGCAATGTTGTGAAGCCTTCAAGTTTGGTAAGCCTATAAAAACATAAATATTAGTATGACTGTTTGTAATAAAATACTGTTGTGTAAATATTTAATGAAAAAATGAACATTATAGGCATACCATGCGCCATAAGGAAGATCATTCTGTGTGTAAGGGGGATCACCTGGAGCTAGAAATGGAAACCTATCCCACACCCACATCATCACAAGTGGAGTCAATCCTCCAACACCAGACCGATCAATATTTATAGACATGCATAACTCTCTGTATAGGAATGCTAACGCTGCAGCTCCCCAACTATATTGCCCAGTTATCTTCAAATCCTCAAGTAAGGGAAGGTACCTAACCGGGACCCTGCTACTAGAATGATCAGCTAACATAAATCTACCTATAAGTATCAAAATATAAGCTCTAGCAAAGCGAGTTAGCTAAATGGGATTTTGGTTGTGCAACCCAACATGGGAAAAATGTTCATCCAACCAAGTAAGTTTCAAGTTGCCCCCATAAATGTAGAACTCGGTGGTCTAATTCCCAACAAATCTTCAACGATTTGTGCCCTGTCACCTCCTGTAGGGGCAATAACTGGTCTTCCATCAATACGAAGACCCATCTGAATAGAAATGTCTTAAAGAGTAATAGTACACTCTCTAAGAGGCATGTGAAACGTATGGGTCTCTGGCTTCCATCTTTCTACCAAAGCTATAATCAATTGGCGGTCAATAGAAATACTAGCCAATTGTGCTACTCCAGCAAATCTTGCTACTGTCAAATGAGGAATAATCTCTATTAGAACTCCTTCCATGCCAGCATATATGAAATGACCTCTCCTTACTCTCAATATTGGGTGTTCACGGTCATCGCAAATATGCTCTAAAACATGAATAGACTAATAGCGCAGTAATAAATTATCTTTGGGGCCGAGATTTAACACCCTACTATGAGACGAAGATGATGCCATCTAAAATCTATTTAAACAAGTAAACTATAAACTTTAAATTTACAATATAAGCAACAAAATTTAATAAAAACAATTTCATTTCAGTATTAAACAATTTGTACCTTAAAATAGACTATATCAATTATTATATTAACAAAAAAATTCTTTTACTAAATTTACCTACAATTAGTAAATTTACAACATAAGTTTCAATAATAGCTTACAACAAAAATGATATTTTCAAAATATCATTATAGAAAATTTAACCTCTAAATTCTTACTAATGTATTTAAATTGTTTTTTTCTCACTTAAATTAACACATAAATTTATTATTATTAATTAAAATCATATAAATAACTACAAACTTTTTTAAAATATTTAAATCTCTAAATTACTAATTATCTAATTTTTTTATTTTCAGTCATTTATATTTTAAAATAACATTTTTAATTTTATTTAACTTAAAATTTTATATACTTATCTTTTTTTTCACTTAATTCCTTATTCTTTTACTCTAAAATTGTTTCTCCTTTAATCCATGCGGGCAAAAACGCCCTCATTAGCAGAGTTAAACATTTAAGATTAAATCAATTCTGATGCTATACTAAAATATAGAACTTAACTTATTCTAAGAAAATTATTAAAACTTGATAAAAAAAAACATCTTAATTATTTTTCTAACCAAAATATGAGATATCTTATTATGGTATGTCTCTCACTGATATTTTATTTTATTTTCTACAACTTTAAGTGTTAGCTAGTAATTAATTTTTAACATCTTAAGTTATTTAAAAATAATAAAACAAAGTTATTATCATGTCCTTATAAAATAAATAAACTGCAAAGCTATTATTTCGACATACCATAATGCAAACATCATTATATATGAATTCCAATTGGATACCCGACAAAAAGGGCTTGTGAGGTTAGAGGGTGATATTTTCTTTATCCAATTTTCACATCAATTAATTGGAGAATACTGATTCGTTTTGGTGAAAAAAGTGGGAGAACTGTTACTATTGTCACTGTGATTTACCTCAAATAATGAGTAGTTCAAGTCATGAGGCATGTTACAAATATGAACAATGCCTTTTTTATTGAACTCGATGTTAAATTATGATAACTATCCAAGTAGTCTAAGTTGGATTCATATTAAAAGTTTATGAAGTTAAAATATGATGCTCACTAAGTTGTGTATCACTTTTTCTGGAAAGTGTTGGGTGAAGCACTCTTGTTTGGTTGTTCTCTTTTCCTATGCTATGCAGCTTCATGCGTTAATAAATAATTAACATTTTAGTTTTTAAAAACATTACCTCTTTTGATTTTAGTTAGATAAAAACTTTCTTTAATTATAGTCTATATATTGAAAAAAAAAAACACGTGATTTTAGTTCTTAAGGATTAAAATTACCTATATTTTTTTTATAGTTTTAAAGGTTAAAATCAAATAATTTTTTATAAAAAATTAAATCAAAAGATATAATATTTCTATAGACTAAAATGTTATTTTAACTTAGTTGCTTTTTAGAGCCATTTGTCATGTCTAACGCTAATCATGGATATAATATTTAGATTGTCAAGAAATTGATTTGGATAAGTTAAAAAATTGCCAAAACTTAATTAACATTATTATAATTTAGTGTTGAAAATCAGTTTGAACTCGTTATTGTATAAAAAATTTCTTTTTTTATTGGGTGGTTATAAAATATTTTTCGAATAAATAAAGATTCATATATAATATTTATATATAATTTTTTAATTATTTATTACATGTTTTTGCTTTAATGTAAGATGTCTAATATGATTATTTTATATAATTTAAAATTTATGTTAAGTTTTTAAAGTTATTTATATTAATTTATTATTGAATATGATACATAATATTAATATATATTTTATTAAATTTAATTACATTCTTTTCTTCCGATATAGATTATGAGTGACAAGTCTTTAATTTTTTTTTCAAAAAAATTAAGTCTCTTTATTTTTGTACAAATTTAATATCTCAATCTACCTTAAATTTTTATTTTTTCTTTTTTTATTTCAAATCTTTAAAAATTAAATTAATTAAGTTGTTTTTATCCTGAAAACTAACTTATTAAAATTTTAATTTTTTTCAAAATCATAAAATTTTTCCTCTTCAAACTTAGATATATTCATTAATATATGCTACCAACAAACTAGCAAGGGGGATGAATTGTTTATGCGTATATCAATCTTATGATACTTTCTCTATGATGTTAAGCCTTCTTAGAGATTTTAATAAGATCTTAAGTCGGTTAGAAGTTCATGATTTTTTTTTAACACATAGAGCACTAAAATTTCTATGTTGGTCTCTAATTGCAATTTGTTAGATATTAATCCCATCAATAATAAGTATACTTGGATTATTAGGAGACAAAAATGTCACATTAAAGCTAAGAAACCTAATAAAACCTTGAAGGACCAATCTCAATTAACTTGGTTTTTAAAAGCCTTTGTAAAAAAATTGTGTCAGTTTTTTACTTAAATCATTATCTTCTCCTTCATTGGTGTAAGGTGAAAACAGGTAAAAAGAAAAAAAAATATTATTCCAAGCAACATGAACAACCCATAAAAATTTTGATAAAAATTGTAAATGATACTTAACATAAAGACAGTCATAGAGTAATTGAAGGTTTCAGTGTTGTTTATCAATATGTTATTATGTTCATCATGTAGTAATTAAGATACTCAATGTTGTTCCTTTGTCATCACATTTATTTGTTTTTTATGTATGATGAAACTATTTATATACATGCATAAGCTTGTAAATATGGTACTTGACTCCCAATGCAGGTTTCTAGAAGAGACCAAAGTATTTCTCATTTTGTGTGCCAATGACATCTTGCTACTTTGCAAAGCTTTCAACACACAAATGAAACTAATAATTATTACATTAAATGATTGATCTTTGTGCAACATTTGACATGAAAGTGAACTTTTAAAAATTTAAATTTATTTTTCAAAAGTTGTTATTAACTAACTAACAACATACAAGACTTTCTAATATTCTAGTTTTAGAAATGCATCTAATCTAGAAAAGTACTTGAGTTTCTCCTACAAGTTGTGTGTGATTAGATTAATAAGTTACTTAAATTGACTATTTGGTTTGAGAAATTTGAAGGATATAATGGAATCACCGAGTTAGTTGGAGTATAGTTACTCCAAAGAAGATGCTTGGTGTTCAAGGTTGCAAAATAATAAAAAGATGAATACTACCTTAATTAACAAATTAGTATAAAATTTATTATATGAAAAAAATAAATTATATGTATATGTTTAAACACATAATTATCTTAAGGATTATTCAATTTTCTCTAACCTTGTAAAAAACAACTCATCATATTGTTGAAATGTATCATCAAAGCTACCAACAAAATTTGAGATGGATATGTAGATCATATTAAAACAAGAGGCCATTTTATTTTGGTATGATATTTAGTTATGTAGTGGCACACATTGCCTCTAATATCCTATATATGGTGCATATTATTAACTCTCAACTTAAACTATTATATGTTTGGTTTAATAACTCTTATAATCTCTTGAAATCATATACCAAAATTCCCCAAGATGTAAATTTAAGGATCATGAGACTAAAGATAAACTCCTTATAAAGGTTGCGAGTAAGGAAGGAAAATATAACACCAATTCTATTTATAATTGTTGCAAAGACACAATAAATCATCACAATATATCATGCCTTAATCCCACATTTTGTGTACTCATATTCCTAAACAAATTTATATTTTTTGCATGGTTGACTCTACACAATGTCATACCCAAAAATCACTAGTGTTTCAAGTGCAATGTGAGCTCATTCCTTGCTCAAGATGTTTCTCTCCCTATGATAATTTTCATCTTTGTGTAAGTGATCGTCCAAATGCTAAAGAGTTATGGTTGCACATTAGAAATCTTAGAGCTCCCTTCTTTTGTCAAATGGATTTAGATTTACAAGATATTATCTCATTATAATGCATCTTTGATGTTGGAGCCTCTTTGGTGATCTTAGAAATGAAGAAATAACATGATCTTTAATAATAAGTGATGGACTTATGTGTATATCTTTCAATAAATCCATGTATCTCAGGCTAACTTTACTGCTTCTTTGTTCAAACATCACTAGCAATAATTCTTGGATCTCTCCACCTTTCTTTTTGTTAAATTGAATGTCAAGAATTACTTCTTTTCCACCAATTGTTACATGATAGGGTCCACATAGATTCATCTAGAAGACAAATTTCAAGTTTTCTATATTTTACAAGTATGGGATATGCTCTTTTGGCAGAATTCATAACCCTTGAATGGAAACTATATCATAATTGATTTTTGTGCTTATAAACATGTGATTTTCAAGAATAATTAACTATTAGAGATCAATCCTTTTTATGGAGAGACGGGTTTTAACTTTCACATCTACTCAATGCTTATTTAAGAAATTGTCAATTGGCTTCACAACGATTATGATATTAGAACCCTCTATATTTTTAAGGATACGAACAATGTAGTAGATGTCTAATCATGAGGACAATTCTTCTATGCAAATTTGGTTTTCCCCTCTGAATGGAGTGCATTATTTTATCCTTCAAAAACCTCTTTGTAATTTCTTTGTTGCCCTTTTATTTCTAATTATGCCATGAAAAAAAAGGAGAAAATTTAAAATTTAAATATTAAATTAAAAATAAATACTAATGTAAAAAAAAATTATTTCTCATGATTAGAAAGAGAATCATCTCTTTAGTCTCCCCATTTGAGAAAGCTCCTAAAAATATTTCTATTTTAAAATTCATACAAATTATATACATAGTTATCAATAGTGACTACTATTGCGGTGGAGTGGAGTGAAGCTGCACAACACTGTTATTGAGATCCAATAGCATCACGATTCAAAGGAGCGACTATCATGTCGTGAATCGTGGCTGAAAGGGGCAGAAATTGCGGTTGTCGCGGCCGCTATTCTATTCTTGTTGAAGTTCTAAACTTGCCCTCTGTTTTTTAACGTTGACGACTTTTAAGGGGACAATCTTGGGATTTTGGCCCTTCTTATTTTTTGATATCTTCTCCATCCCTCTTTCTTGAGCCCTAAGATTCTCATTTCATCTCTCATTTCTCCTTTTATTTCATCTTTATTCTCTACGATTCTAGTGCTTTTGGCGGCCTTCATCTCCAGCGAGGCTTCTAACATGATAAAGATGTTCTCTAGTCATCTTCATCTCTAGTGAAGCCTTCAACATGACCTAGATAGTTTTCAGTCATCTTCATCTTTGATTGTCTTCTTCAAGTTTAGCAAAGCTCCTGACATCACGCAAACATTTTTTTATCATCTTCTACATCTTTGACAAACTTTACGGCGAAGCTGCACATTTTCTAGCGATTGAACATTTTTTTTATTTTCTTTATCTTTTAATAATTTCAAAGCTTGAAGTAGAAGTAATGATTGGTCTTTCCAATTAGTTAGAAGGAATTGTCTTTATTTCAATTTCTTTTTGTGCATTAATGAAGCCACCGAAAAATAATTTGGATAAAGGTTGGCAATAGAATAGTTTGAAAGACATAAGCAATAAAATGTTTGTTACTTGTGACTTTTGTGGAAAAACTACTATTGGCAGTATTACTAGAGCAAAGAGACATCATAAGTAACATTAATAACAGCTCATGAGAAGAAAAAATATGAAAGAGACATATTCACTTTAGCCTGATGAAGATGATGATGAGGAAAAAGAGATGCAAGAAATTCAAAATATTTATAGTGTAAAAAAGACCTGCAACCTCAATTGCTACATCATCTTATGCTAGTGGTTGTATTGCCACCAAAAAAGGAAAAAATGTTATGGGCTCCTTAAATTTATTATGGTTGAAGAGTTCAGAAACAAGCATCAAATCACCAAAGGTAAAAAGACAAACAAGTATAAATTATGCTTACAATGTTATGCACTTAAAAAGTTTGATGGTTGAAACTATTGAAAATCATGGTCCACACCTAAAGCTTCCTAGTTATTGTGAGTGTAGAGTTTTTCTTCTTAAAAAAGAGTTAGAGTATACAAAGGAAATGTTGAAAAGTCATGAAGAAAAAAGATAAAAGTGTGGATGTTCAATTATGTCAGATGCATAGACAGTTAAAATAAATAGAACATTGATCAATTTTTAAGTAAATTATCTAATTGGTTCTATGTTTGTAAGAACATTGATGCATCTGCTTATATGAAAACTAGAGAAAAGTTGCTTTACCTCTTGGATAGTTTTGTTGAAGAGATTGGAGAAAAAAAATGTTGTACAAGTAGTTATTTACAATGGAAGTAATTATGTGTTAGCTGATAAGAATTGTTCTTAACTCTCAAGTAATATAATTTAAACAACTTATATTTATATTTTATTAATTTTTAATTTTAGATTATTCAATTTAATTTTAGATAAGTTGTTGCAAGCTAAAAGACCATATTTGTTTTGGACTCTATGCGCTGCTCACTGTATTGGTTTGATATTGGAAGATGTAAAAAAAATACCAAGAGTCAAGAGAATAATATAAAAGGAGTTACTCTTATGGACTTTATTTATAATCATTCATTGACTTTCAACATTATGAGGATGTTCACAAATAAAATTGAATTGGTTAGATATAGAGTGACAAAATTTGCGACAACACTCCTCACATTATAAAGGTTGCATGATAAAAAATAAAAAAAACCTTAGAAAAATAATCTTCAGATGAGTGGTTAAAGTCTAAAAAGTCAAAAAAATCAAAGAAAAAAGCACTACAGACACTGTGCTTATATCTTTTTTTGGAATGATGTTGTTTTCAGTCTTAAGGCTATGGGGTCACTTGCAGAAGTTATGAGGCTTGTTGATAATGAAAGAAAGTCTGCAATATGTTACATATATGAAACAATTGATAGAGCTAAATAATGCATCAAACAAATATAAGGAGAATTTTGCTATAATTGATAGAGAATGGGAGTGTCAATTTCCTCATCCATTGCATGTTACAAGTCATTATTTGAATCTCCAAATTTTTTATAGCAATAAAAAAAATAAAAAATAATCCCAAAGTTGTGGAGGGCCAGTGTAAATGTATTAAGAGACTATGTACAAGTGAAGATGATGTAGACAATGCTACACTTCAGTTGTCAGAATATATAAGAGCTAAATGTCTCTTTGATTTGAGTGGAGCAAAAAGGCAAAGGGCTACAATGGCTCTAGCTAAGAGATTTTTTTAATTTTTTATTGTAAAATATGTAGATATAAGGCAAAAGGCTAATAAGTTATTGCATAACCTGCAAGTGAATGGTGAAAGAACTATTGAGTACATACGCCACGTTTACAAAACATTGTCATTAGAATGTTGAGTTTAACTTGTAGTTCACCTGGAAGTGGTCGAAATTAAAGTACTCTTGAGCAAATAAGTAAATATCATGTAATTTCAATTTAAAGTGCTTGATCTAATAATATTAAAAGTGCAAAACTAATATATTTTTTTAAGGTAAAATAGATTCATTTTAAAAAGTGAAACAAACTTGAGCATCAAAGGTTACAAGACTTGATTTTCATTAAATATACCTAAGCTCATTTTAAAACGAGAAGCAAACTTAAGCATCAAAGGTTACAAGACTTGATGTGGTGGATCCTATTCTCTTAAAGGGTGTTGATGATAGTAATGATTGGTTGCTAGAAGGAACTGCTGAAGATGATGAAAATGTTGTAGATGAATTAGTGTTTGATGATGATAACTTGACTTGAGAAGTTATTGCCAATGCAATTGGGACTAGTAAGCCTATAACCTACATTAGGCAACAAGCTAGATTAAAATACAAGACAACTACAATTACTTTTTCCTCTAAATATAAGAAAAAAAGGAAGAAAACTATAGAACAAGAAGAAGAATGTGATAATAAAGACTCTAAAAAAAGGAGGGGGAAGAAGTCCTCTACAAAAGTAATGATAAAAGTAAAAATAAAAAAGACATAATAGATTTTAGAAATAAAGATGATAATAATTATTAAAATATTTCTATTTGAATTGAATATTTAGTATTTTTAAACATTTAAGCATTAGAGAGTTGAATTTATTTGGTTCCTGTATTTTGTTGTTACTTGTTAATTGTTATTAACATTTAACATGTGTTTTATTTTTTTATATTTTTTTTGGCATACATGTGTAATATTTTTAAACTTTCACTTTTGATCATTAATATTGCATATGTCTTCAATTTGGATCTTAATTTTATATTTTGCAGTACAAATATATGTAGCTTAATTTATATTAAATATATTTAAAATGTCTAAAATAGTAATCTTCCTTTTATCTGCTATTTCGCTATAACATTTTTTTAAGTCAGCTGCTACTAGTTGAAATTAACTACTATAATTTTATATGGAAGTTAATAAATATTTTATTATATTAAAATTACATGACATGATAAGATAGAGAACAAACTCCCCGAAGTACTTTCATTTAAGAAAATTAAAAACTTTTTTGATTAAGAATACTTGTCCTCAATAGAAGTTGATATGATATATTAAAAAATTTAAAATAAATATAATTAAATATATTCCAACAATCTTATATTTTAACTAATCTACAGTTAGGATCTTTGGTTTTCTTCCTTTTTCTTTTTCTTTTGTGCTAGATTTTAACACACTTTCATTTGTGCTTTTATACATATATATATATATATATATATATATATATATATATATATATTAAAAAGAAAAAATACACACATGATATGTACATCGCTTTAGCAAATGCTATCAAAAGTAAAACTTTATAATGTCACTAATATTTGTCATATTCTATGTTCATGGTGTTTTCATACTCCATTGAGTATTAGATTTATTTTTATCTCTACTAATGTGGAAAAACTAGATCATATGACGAGAAATAGAATACTAGTTCCTAAAAGTATGTCTGATTTAAAATCAATAAACACTGTCGTTTTAAAAAATATTTAAGGTTTAACAGTAAGAAAAAAGAAATTATATATAACTTTGATTAGTGGTTTAACATTTAGAAGTATTCTAAGCATTCGAGCACCTAGCTTCCAAAATTCCAAGTTTATTGCTCAGGACATACCAATCTGTCCATTATCTGAAAAATATAACTTCATAGAGTGCGATAAAGGAACTAGAAATACTAAAAAGTGGGTAAATGGAGATATAATTTCCAATTCCTAATTAGCTTTATGGGGTTTGGTTGTAAGACCAAATCCAAATGGGAAAAGGGGGTCATAATGAGGATCTCCAACATTCATTGGTAACTGATCAACAGTTTTGAACCATGTTCTTGGAAGCTTGCCAGTGAAACCATAGTCACCAAATAAGACATCAGTCACACCATTTCCTTCAGTACCAGGAAGCCAAGCAGCAACAAGGGATTCAATGATGTCAACATATGGCTGGATAACCACAGGGCGACCAGAGATGATCACAACCACACATTTGACTCCTCCACACACATTGTTTATGGTGACTGGCCCAGGAGCAGAAATTGTCAAATTCATGCTGTCGCCATACATTTCAGCATATGGAGTCTCTCCAACTACCACAATGGCATAATCAAAATTATTAGACTTGACATAGTCTAAATCAGGGTTCTCCTTAAAGACCACCTCGGTATCCTTGTCAACTGTGTTCTTTATAGCACTGAGAATTGTGGTACCTGTAGATCAGATAAGCCATATCAATGTTGTAATATTAGTACAAGATAAAGTTCAAGGTTATGGAGAAAGGTTGAGATTTGAGAACGAAATGATGGTATACCACTAGTAAGGTTGTTGCCACTAAGACCTTGCCATTGAATAGTCCAGCCACCACATTGATATCCTAGATTATCAGCATGGCTTCCAGCAACAAGAATTTTTGAAGCCTTTTTAGGAAGAGGTAGCAGTGGCTGATCAGCATTTTCACCATTCTTTAACAAGACCATTGATTTCCTCACAGCTTCCCTAGCCAATTCTCTATGTTCCTGTCAAATTATAGAGCCAATATTGTTTTTTCATCATACTAAAAATAGTGGGTAGTTAAACAGTATACACGTTTGGTGATGAACTAACTTGACTCCCAAGCTGGTGGACTAGGCTGTAATCTGCCAATGGATACTCAAAAAGACCCATAACAAATTTAACCCTCAAAATTCTCTTCACGGCATCATCAATTCGGCTCATGGGTATGAGGTTATTTTTCACTTGTAAGGTTAGACCGTCTATGAATTCTGTATAGTTATAGGGGACCATTATCTGCAGCATTACCAAAGAAAGTATTAGAAGATGATACATGCTATGTCAACTATCATTGAAGGTTATACATAATCAACAAACATGAAACACATAGTTTACCATGTCAATTCCGGCAGTGATTCCAGCATGAATGGAATATGAGTAGTTAGCATGAGGAGGGGTAGTAATCCTATCAATTCCTTCCCAATCTGATATGACAAAACCCTACAAGAAACCAAAGGATTTCAGGACAAGTTTAATGTGACAATTCATAATTTCAAATATAATGATCTTGATGAGGTGAGAATTACCCGAAAATGTAGAGTGTTCTTCAGAAAGTCAGTGATTAGAGTATGATTAGCATGCATCTTTTGTCCATTCCAGCTTGAGTAAGAGATCATGACAGTTGAGACACCCTTAATGATTGAGTTATAGTAGGCTGGCATGTGAATGCTGAGCAATCCATGTAGGCTTATCACTGTGTTGTTCTCATCGATTCCTTTTGTGGTTCCACCGTCTCCAACATAATGCTTTGCACAGGCTGCAACATTCTTGCTGTGCATAGAAATGCCAGTACATCAAATGACAGTGCATAGAAATGCCTTAGTAATGCAAAAATTCAGTTAAGTGGAATAGTTTGAAATATATGATGGGGAAGAAAAGAAAAACATTCTATTTGAGTAAGATAGATCCAAAACTGATAATAAAATCCAACGAAGAAGGGGTGAAAGTTAACATTTTATATGATTCAAATTCTCATGATTAAGTAATAAGGAAGAAAAACTATGAATATAAAACTAAACTGATTCCTGCAAAAGCATAATTTCTTACTTTCCAGCAACAAATGGAACACCCTTTCGTGAGTTTGCAGGGATGTCACCTTGCAGTCCTGGAATAATCTCAGTCATTTTTTGAACTACTGTATGATCTTCACTATAACTTTCATAACATCTTCCCCACCTTGGATCTCTACATACCTATACACAAACACATATTATAAGGTAAGGTCACTTTATTTGAAAAAACAAATAGATGTATAATACTTCAGATTTTAACAATTACCGCTATGCAAGGTGCAAAGACATAAGGAATTCCAGTTGCTCTAACTTCAAGAGCAGTGGCTTCTCCAATCTTCTTCGCTAGTTGAGGGTCCCTGCTTGGCAAAGATGAGCTTCATCATGAGGATACAGAAAAGCATAAAATATTGAAACGTCTTTTCTTTATCCTCAATTAACCCCAGCAAGCCTATGGGTAATTAACTTTTATTTAACCCATTTTTTTAAAAGCAAGTTTACACTAAGACACAGCATCATCGTGAGGGGGAGAGAGAGAGAGAGAGGAGAGAGGAATAGCATAAAACAGAAAAGAAAAAAAAAAAACAAAGAAGGATTTATATCATTAATCTAAACACGAAAAGGTTATTATTGTTATGACTTTCTGACTATAAAATCTTGTATACTCTAATATTTAATTATATGTTTCAACTACTTGAAACTGTTCATTTACCTAATTAATGTTTATTGGTTAGATTTTTTAACTTACACACATCAAAATTATATCAGTTTCTAGTGATTATCTCAACACACAACAGCATTGATATAGATCAGTCAAGTATGGTTGAATGCAGAAAGTCATCAATTCTTCAAAATCGAAACTAAAATTGCCACACATTTTTTATACAGGGGTACTCATGATTGACCTGGTAGCTCCTAGCCCAATATTGTGAGGAAAAATTGTTGCCTTATAGACATTGTTATGGCCATGAACAGCATCAATCCCATATATCATAGGAATTCCCAACCTAGTCGATAAAGAACCCTTCTGAAAATCATTCACCATGTCAACCCAATCCTCTGGAGTAGCCTGTGGCTTTGGAACACTGCCACCCCCACTTAGCACACTCCCTATGAAAAAGACAAATTACATTAAAAAAAAGTAAATAAATAAATAAATATTTACATTTATTCCCATTTGCCACTTGCCACTATCTGTCATATCTGTTTATTTTTCATTCAAAGAAAAACACAATAACAAAACCTTACCAATATAATATTTCTTCATCACTTCAGCAGAAGCAACACTGCGATCAATCTGCACCATTTGGCCAATTTTCTCTTCCAAAGTCATCCTATTCATGAGATCCTTGATTCTAACATTCAGGGGCTGTTTTGGATCTTTATATTTCAAATACTCTGCCTCTGTCAGAGCTACCCAACAATGCAAGAGCATAAACCCCACCAAAAAGATGGGAATTTTGGCCATTTCTTCCCCTCAATACAACTTCACACTGAAAGATCATAACATAAGTCAAGTTACTATTTCAATTAAGACAAGTTAAGAATGTGATGCAAAAACAACCAAGCCCCACATAAAAAAAAGAAAACTCAATTTGATGAAAGCTAAACAGAACATAATCCAAATTAAAAGTTCCAGAAAAAGAGAGACAAAAGACATAAAATCATCAAGCAACCCAAAAAACACAACCTTATCAATCAATGTCATTAATTAAGCTGAACAACCACACCCATTTTGGAAATTGGAGTGCAAAAATCATCTCAAGCTTTAGCCATGAAAAAGACAGTGACAGAAGAAAAACATGGATGAAGAAAGTAAAAAAGTGAGAAGTAATGATACCCACCACCAAAGGTTGCGAATTTTCTGGTTCTCCTAACTGAAAGCAACAATGTGTGCTCTTTCCCAATAATGGCAAATTTAGATCACTGGAAGCACTTGGAAACACATGCACATGGCAGAGTGTCTTATATGAATATGTATATATAGACAGAAAAAGATTCTACAGGCTGTTACCGTCTTACTTGCTTGGTATGGTAACGTTTGAAAATTGAAAACATGGATATTGGATCTATCCTATCTTCGTTAGTGAATGCTGTTTAAGTGTTCTTATATTTTTTTATTTCAAAATTAAACTTTAATTTAGTTTAATTAAGTGGAGTTTTAGTCAATATGAATAGTGTTCCTAGATCCAAACAGATAATCTTAAATTTCAAGTAACGATTCTAGTTCACTCAACAAATTGTTGTTTGGTTTCAATTTAAAAATAAGGTCTTTTTTTCATAAGTATTTTTATGTTTATCTCAGTTGACTAGTAATTTTGTTTTTGCATTGTACCGATGTTATTAAATTTAAATAAAATTTTAAATAATTAATTAAAAATATATTATATGTCTATTTTAAATTTTGATAAATTTGTAAAAGAATAAATATTTTAACATCACGAGATAAACGAAACTCTTAAAAATACCCTCGTCTCTCAAAAGCATTTAAAAATTGCTTATATGAGAATTCGTATTCATAAATTATACGTAGAAATTAATAAATATTTTATTATATTTAATAAAATAAAATAAAGAGATAATTTTAGATTAAAATAAATTATAAAAAATAAAAATTAAATTTATATTGAATTAGAAAATATTTATTATAACAAATATATTAGGAGATAAAGAATTAAATGAATTATTTAAGGAATTATAATAGTTTCTCATTGCCCGCACGTAAAGACCACTAACTCACAAAAACATCACATTTTCAAAGGTATAAATAATTATTTAGTGGATTTAATTTGCATAAGGTTGAATGACAAGCACCCACAAAGCGTGACAATGACTCCATCCAAAGACGGTGACGTTTAGTGGGTCAACGTGAAGGACACCGGTTCATTCTACTCTGTCGTCACTTTCTATTTTATATATATATATATATATATAAAATAGATACATTTATTTGATGTATTAACTTTTGACATTTTACCAAACGTTACTTGAACTGATACTTGAGTGTATTTTATTATTATTTGTTAATATTTGTCTTTATTTTTAATAAAGTTTCTTATTTATCACATTTCTTGACGTTATATTATTTATTTATTTTAATAAAATTATTCTTTTAATGATGTTAGACAGTTTGTTCTAATCATTACACTATTTATATTAATTTTTTAAACTAAAACATTTGCTCTTGAAAAATAAATATAAGAATTGGAAGTTTTAAAAATCCTAAAACCTTAATTAAACAATATATTTTTTATACAAAATAAAAATAAAATTCTTAGTAGAAACCATATAAATATATTCTTGATTTTTTAATAGTTAACAATTAATTTTTAAAATATTTATCAATTTTCATATTGTAAATAAAAATATTGATAAGTGAAATATTTAGTGAAACTATTCTCATTTATGACTTGTTACATTTACTATTTTATATTAAAATTATTTAAAAATAAATTACACTTTCTTTTGCTATAATAAATTTTATTTTATTAACTTTTTATTAATTTTATTCTAAATTTTAGAGGTAAAAATTATTATATAACTCCGTTTTTATTCTTTCAGATTCTTGATAAATACCTATTTATATTTACAACTTTTTTTAACTTTATATAAGCTTTTCAATTTTTTAAAAAAAAATATTTATATAATATTTATAATACTTAATTTATTACTTAAAAAGTATTATAATTCTTTTAATTTTTTTAATCAATTTAATAGACATTTTTTTTATAATTATAGAAATAAGTTAAATTCTTTTATTAATGTTAATGTTTCAAATATTTTTATTATATATATATATATATATATATATATATATATATGCATTAACTAGTATATTAGTGATTTTTTTATATGCTTAGTCTTAGCAAATAAATGTAATTAGTTTGATTATGATGAGTATGTTTTTGCCATGGAACGTTCTAGCAGTCATGGGTCCATATAATTAGCTCAATAATTGTGAAGAGCTTTTAGTTTGATGACTTCATTGTCAAGAAAAAAAGTTAAAAATGAAAAAGATAAACACAGAATCTATTAACTTTGAACAAAGCCTTGGTGGCTACTGAAAATAGAGAGAACCTTTTGGATGTTCATCGAAGCTTCATATAAAGTTATGTGGATGAGGCCTTTTATTCGTCAACCCCTTCAAATCTGCTTTTCATTTCAATACCTTTTCATTTGAATCACACCATATGATAACAAAATAAAAATATAATAATTATTAAATACCCTTCAATCTGAATTGTCATTTCAATTTTTATTAAATGATCTATCGAATTTATTATTGTTTTATTTTAATTTTTAAAACATATAAATCTTTAAAATATAAAAAAAAAAATACATTTTCTGCTTTTTTTCACCACTCTCACGCATTGCTTGGTATTAGGAGTGTTTCCAAACCAATTTATACTATTGTAAATTGATGAATTCAATTACATTGAGTATATTTTTTTTAAAAATACTGAAATAATTTTTTTTAATTAGATTGAATTGAATTTTAAAAATTGATCTAATTTAATTTAAATTCAACTATCTTAAAGAGTGAAATTGCGGCTTAATTAGCTTTGAGATGGGTGCAGTCCACAATGCCCCAAGAAAAATTGACAGACCAAATAGGTCAGTCCAATACTCTATTCTAAAATAACACAAAGACTTATACTAAAGTATTTAAGCCTAAGATAGACTCTCATTTTACATTTTTCTATAATTAATAATAAAATTATGTATAATATATAATATATGATCTAATTGTCAACTCGGTCAATTTATTGAATTCCTGGGTTAGTCAATTTATTAATGAATAAATATTATTAAAAACTTAATTATGAAAATATTTTATGATTTTTACAAATATTTTTTTATTTCAATAAATTTATAATCCTAATTATATCATTATTATTATATAATGAAAATTTCTTAAATAAATATTTAACTAAACTATTTATCTCAATACACACACCCTGGTTCTTAAGTAAAAAAATTTATTATAATGCTTTAGCAAAATTTTTTTAACCTAATTTAGAGTCAATTCATGTCAATTCTTTACCTAGCGATTTTAAATTTTAGGGTTTTATTAACTTCAACCCTTAGCCTTAAGAGTTAAGGATAAACAACTAATAATAGTAAAATTTGATTAAAAATAGAAATATTTATTATATTTTTATAACTTCAATACAATAATTATGTATTTTTTTAATAATTTTTTTTTATTTGTGAATGCTTAAACTCAACCTTAAAAGTTGAGATTAACAAAACTCTAAACTTTAAAATTACACTTTATTTATCTTTAAATATAAAAAATGAATAATTAATTAATTACTAAACACAGTCAAATATTTTCAAATTAATTACAAAATCTATCACATACTTTTATGTGTGTTTTATGTATATGTGTTGTGAAAAACAGTCAATATATAATAAAATAAGTTAATAAAATAAAAAAATACAACTTGATAAAAAAATAATTTAATCTACACTTATTTAAATTTATAATTATTTAACAGAACTGAAACAAGTTAATATTTTCATTAATGAAGAGTGACACTTCTCACTTTTAATTATTTAATAGGCTTGAAAATATTTTTCAATAAAAGTGCTAAAAATACACTCTAACGTACTTTCAATTATTTACTTAAATCTATCAAAAACTATAAAAATATGAATGATAATTATGAAATTAAGAGTTGATTCATATGATTTTTATAAATTTTAACTAATAATAATAAAGTGCATTATATAATGTTGCTGACGTTTCTCTTCATTAATTTTTTTGGAGTTCTTTGTATTGACATAGCTTAAAGGCATAACTGGCATGGCTACTTTATGATCAACATTCCATGTGCTGGATCTATCCATCCCAGGTGATCTCAAACTCCTCATCACCACAATAAATGGATGAGACTGCAATTATTGTCTATGCCATGTTTACCTAATGGGGGAGCTCAAACTCTCATATACTTCAATGGATCTTCACAATCCACTGATTCATGTCACTTATTTAGTTGACTTTTGATAGGATTAAGTTTAAGCTTTCATAAATAATAATTTTTTTTTTATAAAAAGTTACTTATCTATTACATTAAAATTATAATATTTTAATAAATACTTCTTCTATTTTTAATAAAATTTCATTGTTATTAATTGCTTATCATTAACTTTAGGACGGGGATTAACATTTTTATGAAATCTTTTACTATCACATTAGTGATATAATATATATATATATATATATATATATATATAAGGATATATAATAATAAATAATAAGTGTTTATTAAAATTATAGTATTTAATTTTATTAATATTTGATTACACGAATTTTAATAAAAATTAAATTATATACATATTCTTATTATATATGTATATATATTCAAGTACACATTAGGAAAATCGTCAAACTAATTTTGAAAAAAGGGTTGTAATTTAAAATACTTATGATATGGGAATTCGTTTTAACAGATGTAGAGGACTTTGTGGTTTATTTGTATTTTAAACAAATATGAAAGTTTTACTTAGATTTGAGTACCCATTATACTAAAAAATAGTAATAATTTATTTCCCTATTAAAAAGTTAAAAATTTATTTACAAGAATCAATTTAAGAGAAATTGTTACCTTTTTTTAATGAATGTGATGGATGAAAATAAATAAGCACTCAATACATAAGGAATAAAAATAGTGCAATAACAGGTAAACTAATTTTGCTGGACTATCGCGTAGATCAATTGGAAATTGTTTCAATTCAACACGAGTCTATTAATGCAATTATGTTAAATATTTTTTTTAAAAATTATCGTCCATAATAATTTTACCTAAATTGTTCCAATAAAAAAATAATATGTTTTAAACCAAAACTAAATTTGCTGGAACTGTAACGTTTCAAATATTTGTTGAGCCATTTTACGTCTATCTCAGTATCTCTCTACA